GCATCGAAAGTCGGAGTTGGAATTCCCGCGGAGGGATTTCGTGACGAAAAGTGCACTTTTCTTGTACTTTCTCGGGTGCTGGGGACTCCGATGACTACCAAAATTTGCAGAGACCTTGGAGACCCTCTTGGGAACACCACCGACTAGGTTTGGAGTCCAGGGGAGGCCACCGACCAGGTTTCAGTGCAGGGGGTGGTCGGCCTACCAGAAAAGGTGGCCGGCTGACCACCTAGCCCAAATTCGGGACAATTTGGTCTTTTTGCTCTCATTTCTTTAAATGTACATGTCCAAAGCTCTTTTCCTCATAACTTCAGCTTCGAAACTGCCTTCTCCTCCTTCCTAGACCATTTTCTCTCTCAGATCTGCGCTCTATACGCGTTTTCCAACGTCCCACGCCAAGTTGTTTCGCGAAAACTTTCAGTTTTCTTCACTTTGAACCGATTAAAATTTGATTTCGGAGCTTTTTTTCTCATTTTCACCACTTGAGGTAAGTTTGTCTCAATATTTGGAAGATTTTCTCAGGAGTTGACTTTTGTTGACTTTTTTCAATTTTGGCTTATTTCGCTCATTTTTGCTCCTTTTTGCAGATTCCCTGAGATGGCGGGTCAATTTCCCCACGGCAGAGGTTCTCCAGGCGCCGGAGGCGATCCAGACATCATGTCTCTGTCGCCGAGGATTCGACCATTCATCCCTAAGAGGTACGATCCTCCGACTCATGTCCTCCCTCGGGCAATTTTTTATCACTTTACCGACTTCGACCCTCGAGCTCCTGTGGACCTACTACTGCCACTACTACAAAAATAGATAAAGATCACACTTTTTTTGTGTGATGTATGTTATTTAATCACACTTTTTAAGTTTTATTAAAGTGTGATATTTGGGAGTGTGATTAAAAGGGGTCATTTTTTAATCACACTTTTTAAGTGTGAGTAAAAATATTTTGATCACACCTTTTAAGTGTGACCTTTGGAAGTGTGATTAAAAGTATATACAAAAGAATTAAATAAAAAAAATTAACTGTTCTTACATATATTAAAAAATGAAAAAACTTAAAAAACTAAGTTCTTTAATTCTTGGACCATATTTTGCATCTCTCCAAAAAAATTTCTGATCTGAAAAATAAAAACACAAATTAATCCAAAAACCACTGATGCATATGAATAAACTAAAAAGTTAATTCAACAAACCAAAATTGGAACATTAATCATTTCTGCTTGATCTTAATCCTTTTGAAAGTAACTTCCCTGTTAACAATTAGATGCCATAGCAAAGTTCGCGATCATAAGTTGTTCATTAATGTACCTAAAACAAAAATTTTATATCAGATTCAATATCATTATACACTTGATAATGATGAAGAAGATCGTGTAGTTGAGCTAGTAGAGGTAGTCACTTGTCACAGACTAGTAATCAGCCACTAACTGTACCCCGTTGATCAGCATGAGGGAAGTCTTCTGAAAGAGGGAAATCATATGGCCAGTTTTGGGTTTCTATCAACATCTGAATATATGCAATGAGATGAAATTGTTAATTTTGTTTGTACTGATTAGATTTTATGTTGTAAAAAATTTCATGCCCAAAGTAGTACCTATTCTTTGGCATCTTCCCAAAGTGTTAGGGCATCCTCTTCGACTGAAATTGAGTTAAGATAGATCAAAACAGGGCCAAACACCTTCTTCCATGACTCGCCATCTCGCAATTTTATTGTCTGATTGTCCCCAGCATAATGGGTGCTGAAAAACATCTGAAGATAAATAACACAATCCTTTAACATTAACATCTAGTAGTAAGGAAATTTGTAAAAATTTATTTATATATAACATTTTCCACTTATTGAAAGTGCAAGGTTGTGCCTCAATAGGATAGATTTAAGTAGTAGGTCATGTGCTTAACTAGAAAGTTATGCTCTGTTCTCCATCAATTCCTTTTTTAGTCCAATTGTTGTGAAGTAGTTTTTCCTATGGATGTCATCATCATAATACAAAACAATATTTGTTCTTTTAGGCTTCGTTTGGGAAGTGGGAATTGGTCAAGAATTTGCATCTACATATATTACTTTTTTCGTTTTTTTTTTTTTTTTTTTTGTCATGAAATTCATTTTGTAAATGGGCCACTGTGTTGGGCCAGTGAGTAAAATTGATGCCATTTGAAAGTGTGCTCTCTTGCAAAGCATGATATTTGAGTAATTAATAGCAAAGGATTGTGCAAAGGGAACAATATCGGATACTTACAGATAAGGTGGTTGGGCCAACATGCGAGGTGAGATCTTGCTTTACAGGGCCACCTGTACGGAACTCATCGCTGGGTGTGATCATCCAGAATCCAACAGCCGGGTTGGAGCATATCTACCCATGAACCCGATTGTCTTTGTCATCACATGAATATTGGTACTTATCATCCACCTACATAACACAACATCAAAAAAGAAAAAAAACTAGCATATCTAACTACACAAATGCAATCTTTCCTCTTGTGATTGTCAAGTCTTCATGAAGTAACAAAAATATCAAGAAGTTAACACGCTTGATGAATCACAAAAGGGCATTTTTGTCAATTCACAAAACCATGGGGGAAATTCACAAAAACTGCTATTTACAGCAAAAGACTTGGAATTATCCGCAAGGAAAGTAGGGGAAAATTTTCTGAGTCTTCATCGGTTCAAAATTATTTTCTTTTTCTTTTTTCTTATTCTTTCAGTAATAGAAAAAAGAGAAACCTACATTACCATCCTCAACTCAACTGACTCCCAACTCTACATAAAGCATTGTCATTTGCATATGATAATTGTTTAAGCCAAACATTAGCATGCTTCATGATTACAGCATCCATAGAAGAATAAAATTTACATAAGAAGATGTTCACATGGAAAAAAATACAACATAACACGTAAAGAAAGTTCAAGAGAGGCACAACTGGGTGAATTCTACCAGAGAGAAACACAGGTATGCTAGACGAGTTCCTCAATTCTCAACAGTGCTCAAAAGAGAAGCCCAATTCAATCCTTAAATTCCTAAATCAAATTGACTCCTTGCTGATGTCTTATTTGCCTAAAATATGTGTGAAGATGCGTTCTCACATTGTTAGCCCAAGTATTTTTTTACCACGGTATGAGGCAATGGCCACTATTGCACTTAAAATGCTAATGCCTTGCTGTCTCACAAAGGTCAGAAGGTCATACCGACTGCAATGAACCAACCAACCTCTAAATTGGTTGCCATGTTAACAGGAGAGATGAATCAATATTACACATGGTAAGTACTTAACCAAAAATTTCTATTTCTTCAAATACTAATCTTACTGTTGGACGGTGCCAGAAGTCACGAAACCATGCAAATTTCTGTTGCACAAGGGAAGGCAGATGACCCTGGTACTGATATGGTCCACAAAGTATAAAATGAGTAGTAAAAGATAAGCCTTGTCATCAGAAGTTTGGTTATAAAAAATATCACTTACAATTTTATGAAAACATAAGCCAACCTTTTCCAATATGACGTCAAACCATAAGCACCTGTTTCTCGAATGGGAAAGGAGGGGAGTTTGGGGTGGATGAGATGGTCCAGCTATATTAAATAAGAATGGTAAGTTTAATAAAAACATTTAAATGAAATTTTGCCAACGGATTCCAAGGGAGTCAAGGTTCGCAAAGTTCCATTACTCATCATGAAATTCGAATCAATTCAATTCATATTCTTCACCAGCAAAAGCATTATCACCAATAAAATTAAAGTGAAAAAAACTACAAAATATTAGAGGACTTGCAGAATGAGGGGAAAAAAAGATTTAATCAGCATTCTTTAATTAGCCAATGACCATCATGCATGCACCTAATTCCAACCCATGAAAGGTGACTGTAACATTTACCTATAGGCCACAAAAGTTATGATCTCATCATGAAAAAACCTTCTTTTTAGTCCAAGTAATCCAAACACCACATAAAAAAAAACTGCTGACAACTCCTCAAATTGCACAAATAATGCTGTCAGCACTCCCTACCAAGGCCACAAAAGTTATGATCTCATCATGTCAGCTATTTTTTTATAGGAAAAGTTATGATGTCATCATAATGTTATCTTAGCCATTTTTTTATATGCAAATTCAATAATGTCATCCGAGGGTGAGGGTGAGGGTGAGGGTGAGGGTGAGGGTGGAGAAGAAAGGCACACAATCAATAACAGCCAAAAAAATATAGAATAGCAAAGGATAATGAACAAAAATGGATGGGAACATTGTCCAATAGGGGGCCGCAACTAAATATTTGGAGCATTTTCTAGTTGAGAAAAAATATAGAATATGACAATCTAATGGATATTACAATATACTATATTCTAAAAGAAAATATAACATTACGTTTAATTGTAATTAGGTTAAGAATATAATAGCAAACTCTAATTATCATTTAATAGCAAACTCTAATTATCACACCATTTGAAAAAGGAGAAGAGAAAAAAATTATAATTAACATATTAACAAACCTGTGAACTTGACTCTATACCCAGTAGTTTACGCAGATGACCAACATTGCCCCCCTGAAAATGCAAGTTCAAAACATGACTACCAGATAAAATTATTATTCGAGAACGAAGTGAAATTCCACAATCATAGAAGAAATGCCCACAACCAAAGAAACACAATACGATCTCCAGACATTTTACTTTATTTATAACAAAAACAACTTCCAGTATTACTTGGAACACTCTACAACTCTTATTCAGAGTCTTTAATGGTAGTCTTAAAGTACATCCCACCTAGGCAGTTGAAGATGAAACCTACTCAATTAGATGAGGGCTTCATTCAACAGAATAACCCCTACATAAGTTCATTCAACATCACTACATCTCCTTAGAAATATAATAAAAAAGGAACATAGGTGCACATACATGTTGCTAGTTTAAGAGAAATTTGCAGAGTTACCAAAATATATAAAATAGACATTACGGAGAGGGCATAGTTTCTGGTTACCATCGAAGCATTGTAGCATTAGTATCTTTAGAAACTTTTGTCATCAAGACAAAGTCGAAATTCTGTTAAAAGACATCATATAGTCATGTCAGGATATATCGTAAGAAATAATTCCAAAAACCAAAAACCATGTCAGCAAAAAATGCCTTGCCAACTTGCCGCAATGCAGTGAAGAAGCTTTCCTCCTTTTGACGTGTCCAAGCAGCCCATTGCAGTGTTTGTTTTTTCGCTGCACTGGAAACTGCATTACAGAGGTACAATCAATATTCTCAATTCAGTAACAAAAATGACAAAACACCTCAATTGAGACAAATGATTAGAAACTTCGAAATGACAAGCACAAAATATTACCTGGCTGCTGTAATCTCTTCATGATTTTGAAGAACCAAACTGTGTTTGTTGATTTCCAACTCTACCCATAAAATGCAATTCCTTCTTATCATAAATCTCAAAAGAAATTTGTGCTCAACAATCTACATTTATATTATCTAATAATTTTTTCTTAGTTTTCTCAACAACCAAACAAAGGACTGAAAGCACAATCCAGATCTGATAGTGTAGTTCAACACATCAATGAAAACTTTACAATGCACAGATCTCAAAATCAAGCAAAAAACTAAATTAAAACAATTAAATCAAAAAAACAATTTCACATTGTGAACATATACTACTGAAACAGAGTATACCAAATTGTATTTTCATTAACGAATAGGGATTATACTACTCATCAATATAAAATCAATTTAAACTCATGAATGTCTCTGTTTTTGCAAGATCACTCTCCAATTAATCCCACAATGCCTGCCCATCATTATTTGTTTCTGACTCTAGTTTTAGTCAACGTCTCTTTTCATGGTCATATATCTATATATATATTTTTAATATCTGTTTGAATATGACAAATATAAAGGTCCAATTGCTACAAGTATGTAACCTAAAATTAATTAGTTTAACCTGCTACTCAGTCACCAGTTTTGCTCAATTTTCTTCTTGAATTCTGGAATAAACACTTCAATTTATTTGACAATAGGACATAGCATTCTTCCCTGTTGTGGAAGTTTTAGATCAGTGTCATATCAATTTACAAAATTGGCTTTACTACTTAATATAGGGAAGACAATTTTTTTTTTTTTTTTTGGGAGGGTTCTTGCTTGGCAAATTTCTGGTTCCAAAATAATATTTGCTGAAGCTCATTATTTGCAATTACTTCTGAAATAAGGAATGCCAAAGGTTAGAATAGTGCACCACCAAGATTTGAACAAGAAAATTCTCATAGCACTCATTGTTGCCTGCAGTGTATATTAACCATAACCTGATAGGTGTCGTTACAATGAAGACTCAAAATTCGTTTCCTTTTAATTTTTTTATTATAATTTTATTTCATTATAAAATTTTAATTTTATTCCTTACTTCTCAAACTTTAATCCTAACCTTACTCCAACTCCAGCCACGTCCACCTGACTGCATAAACAAATTGAATTTAAAAACTAAGTGGAAAATAACTTCCATTTGAGAATTAAATTTCAATACAACTCATGGTTGGATTAATAATTCAACTCCATCTCCATTTAGAATTATCAGTCTATGATCTAAATTTGTTTCATATATGACTCCACACAATGCTATTTCAATCTACACCACACAATTATTTTCTGGGAAAAAATCTGATAAACTAGATAAATCTAGGTAACTAAGATTTCTTTTATCTTCATATTCCCATGATTGCAGGCTATTTTTTTTAATTGCCAAATCAATTTTGGCCATTGTCAAAAAGAAGAATGTTAGCCTAGTGACTGGTATGACACATGAATTACGGAGAAAAGAAAATCCACCTGGGTGCGCATGGCTAACATTATGCTATGCCTCCTATTGTAAAGTAAAACATATATTATATTTATATACTCCTAATTAATTCATGGTACCTTACTGTATTTTGCAGACTTTGATCTTATCCATTTTATGTGCGAGGGAGAATTTTCATCACAAATTTAATCGCTATGAAGTATGAATGTAAATTTATTTGTTTTAAATTAAAAAAACAAAAAGAAGATCATCGCACTCATCACTAGACGATGTAATAGAATTTCTCTACTATAAATATGTAATGAAGAGAATCACAATCTATATTTTGATTCAATATACTAATTAGTTTATATGGAAAGCCTATCGTATTCAAATTAATATTTTTATAATTTAGGATTTAGGATATTGGTCAGATTATACCTTATTTATATCTAATAATCTTTTCATTTTTAGGACCTCCCAATAAGTAAGAATTTGTAAACAGTGTGCAAAGATCTAAGGAAAGGTTTCTTTGTGAGTTGGAGGTGCAGGTGTTGTTGGGTCTTGCGGGGCTCACCACAGTTCCACTCGGATTATCTGACTAATTGATTTTTGTTCAATTATGTTTATAGATTATTTATTATAAAAAAAAATTAATCTGATAACAGTAGCCAAAATTCTGTTCTACCATTTATACTCTTCAAAAGCTCTCCAATACAATCCAAACCCAAAATGACATTGCCTATGGAGCAATTGTAAACATAATCATAACTAGTTACTCTAGTTCAACAATTCTCACAATTCAAATCAAATCAATCATACACATGTATACAAGTGATAAAAAGAGCGAACCTTGAGGTGAAGAACACCGCCGCCCAAACCCCGATCACCGCCGGTGAACTCAAGCCGAGCTTCGTTATCGAAAAAGCAAGCCCCTTTCCACTCAATCGACCCATTGGTAGGGGAGACCGATCCGACGAACGACGGCAACAAGTCAACGGCGCTGTGGAGATTGTTGAGCACAGGCCACGAAATCTGTCGAGGAAGAGCTGGAAGGACATCGTTGACTCTGAAGGGTACCTTCAGAGATTCCCCAAAATTCAAACCAAACACTAAACCTAACCCCAGAAAGTAAATTAACCCCAGCAACCACATGCTACGAGCAAACACCATCATCGTCAATATGTATGTACATAATTGTGGTGATTGTGTATAGCCCTAGATTTGGGGTTTGAGGGAGGGAGGGAGGGCGTATTATGGGCGGAGAAGGAGGAGAGTTTGATCCATGGTTTGGGTTTGGACTGGTTCAAGTGACTGCTAGGGCTCGTTTGCCCTTTCGGCTGCTCCTCCGCCGCTCGTCGTCGATCGAGAGAGAGAGGGGGGGTAAGAAGAGATTAGGGATTTTTGGGGTAACTAGCTATATGGAGCCAATCAATAAAGCCATTAATCTAGAATGTAACGGTACTTTTCATTCTGTGTGAGTGTGGGAACAACATTCAGGGGTAATAAAAATCATGGTAGGGAGTTGCAAGTGTAATAAGAAGTATGGTGGGGAAGAGAATTGCAGTTCAAACATAGGTGAGAAAATTGCAGATGGGAAAAATGTCAGAGATGAGGATGAAGATGATGATTGGGATGAAGAGTCAGCACGGGAGATAGGCCAGACTAAAGAGGTGTCAAGAGGAGATTTGGCATGTGGAAAAAGGAATAATGATAAGGTGGATAAGGAATTACTTGGCAGAACTGAAACGGTGGTGGCAGAGTCTGCTGGCAATGAGCTCGAAGAGAGGACAAAAGGTATTATGAAGGTAGTCGGGAATATAAACATTGGCTCCGAGAAGGAATGTCAGAAGTGTGATGATCAGGTTGTCATGCCAGGTTTTGTAAGAAGCTTGAGTGGTTCAAGTTTACTAAAAGCTGGGGTGGAATTAGAAGTGGAGTTGGGCCTTAGTAATGAGGTTGGCCTAATAGGTGGGTTGGACAACATGATGAAAGGGGTGGTGGTGGTGGTGGTGGTGATGGCGAAGGAGATTAGTGGCGAAGTTGTGGTAGTGGTAGAGGAGATAGAGTAGCGGTGGTGGATGAGTGGTAATGGTAGTAGTAGTGGCAGTAATGGTAGTGGTGGCAATGGTAGTAGTAATGGTAGTCGTAGAGGTGAAGTGGCGATAGTGGTAATAATGGTGGTAGTGGAATGGTGTTTGCAGTAGTGGTGAAGGTGGTGAAGGAGATGGGTGGTGAGAGAAAAAGAGATGAGTGAGAGACAGATAGAGGAGAGAAAGAGAGAGAGACAAAGACAGAGTGATGAGCGAGAGAGAGACGAAGTGGTCGCTAAAAGTGCATTTTCTTGTAGTGGATAGATAAATCGAGAGGGAGCTCTGTAAATAGAAAAGACGGAAGAAAAAGAGTGAGCAACGCGAACACAGAGGGAGAGAGAGAGAGAGAGAGAGAGAGAGGGACAAAAAGGTAAAGAGATAGAAAGTGGGAGACAGAAAAAGAGGCAGAGAGAGAAGAGAGATGAACGAGAGAGACAAAGAGAGATAGAGAGAAGAGAGATGAGCGAGAGAGACATAGAGAGAAGAGAGATGAGCGAGAGAGACATAGAGAGAAGAGAGATGAACAAGAGAGACAGAGAGAGAGATAGAGAGAAGAGAGATGGGCGAGAGAGACAGAGAGAGAGTTAGAGAGAAAAGAGATGGGCGAGAAAGACAAAGAGAGATGAAAGATGAGAGAGATAGAGAGAAGAGACATGAGCGAAGAGATAGAGAGAGAAAAGATATGAGAGAAGAGATAGATGAGTGAGAGACACAGAGAGAAAGAAAGAGACAGATAGACAGAAAGAAAAGAGTGATGAGTGAGAGAGAGAAAGAGAAGAGAGAGAGGAAGATGAAAAAATGGGTGAAAAGATATAGACAAAGAGAGAGAGAAAAAAAAGAGCGAAAATAGATAAACGAAAGAGAGACAAAGAGAGATGAGCGAGAGAGATAAAGAGAAGAGAGACAGAGAGAGAAGAGAGATGAGAGATAGACAGAAGAGAGATAAACGAGAGACACAGAGAGAAAGAGAGAGACAGACAGACAGACAGACAGATAGAGAAGAGTAATGAGTGAGAGAGACAAAAATAAGAGAGATAGAGACACAGAGAGAAAGAGAGAGACAGACAGACAGAGAAGAGTGATGACTGAGAGAGAAAGAGAAGAGAGACAGAGAGATAGAAAGATGAAAAAATGGGTGAAAAAGTTCCGTGTCTAAAGCCTCATTTTCTAGTAGTGAGTCGTCTCTATCATTCATGGGTAGAATAGAGGCGCGGATTTGGGAATTGTAGATTTTATATAAAAATCAAATTGAAATATTTTATACATTCACACCTATTTAGGGAGTGTGATTAAATATATATATATATATATATAATTACACTTATTTAAAAAGTGTGATTAAAAAGTAGTAGTGTATATATAATCACACTTTAATTAGAAAATGTGATTAAAAATATATATATATAATCACACTTAATTGAAAAGTGACATAAAAAATAAATATTATCACACTCAATCAAATTAAGTGTGATTAAAATATCAATCTAATTTTTTTTATCACACTTCCAATAAAAGTGAGATCTTTTTTTTTGTCAAAGTGTGATCTTTAA